GCACATGGTCCCTCGAGGTCCAGGCCAAGGACCGCGGCTCTCCTTCGTTCAGTACCACAGCCTTGCTCAGGATTGACATCACAGACACTGAGGTGAGTGGAGAACCGGAAGGGGGTGGAAGGCAGGGAGTGGGGCTGGAGAGCCAGCCTACATCTTTCTGCAACACGGCCCACGCTAGACTTCATACTGCCGATGTGGTGATCCAGCTCCTAGATACGAATGACAATGTCCCCAAGTTCACCTCCAACTACTACATTGCCAGGATCCCTGAAAATGCTCCAGGGAGCTCCAGGGATCCCCTCCATGCCTGAAGGCACCTTTGGACACACAGGCTTAGGAATCAGAGGCTCTAGGTTGGAATTCTAGTGTTCTCAACACTAGAATTTGGGCTTTGTGACTTTGGGCTTTGCTAAACTGCCACGTCCTTGCCCATAAAATGGGAATTATGCTGCTCACCATGGAGATGAACAGTAAGAAGCAAAATCATTGTACCTAGTTCTCGGTGCTATATGTAGCAGGAAGACATCACACTAAGGCTTGGGAAGACAGGCTGCCCATAATCGAAGTTAAACGAGATCTCTTAGCTCACCAGCAGTTGAGGTTGTTGACTGTTCACCCAAAGGTTTGAGGTTCAAGTCTACCCAGAGAAACCTCAGAAGAAAGATTCCATGATCTACATCTGAAAGCTAGCCATCGAAAACCCTCTGGGGCCTAGTTCTCTGCAGACAAAGAAAAGATTGCCATTTCTCATAGCAATGCACTAAGTCGTCTCTTCATCGTATAAGAGCAGCGTTCAGCTACAGCAATGTTCTGAATCGGAATGTGGCTGTCGGCCGGACATGTTCATGTGTCTGTGTGCCCTCTCGTGGAGTGCTGCCCACGCTATGTTCTCTGTGTGCATCCCTGCGGTATTGCATGTATCAGGCCCTCTCTGGGTACTGTTTTCAGGAGGTCAGTTCCTAGCGCTCCTGGGATTCTCAGAGAGGCATCTGACCCCAGAAACATTAGGAACCACTATGCTTAGAGAAGTTCACAGCCTGGGCTCTGTGCTTAGGGATTCGATGGGAACTCCTAAATGCAGGGGACACTGTTCTCTCTTCTAGACCCTGTCCGGGCACCCCATGGCCGCCTTCCTGTTGCAGACTAAAGACAACCCCATGAAGGCTGTGGGTGTGCTGGCCGGCATCATGGCGATCGTGGTAATCATAACCGTGCTCGTCTCCACGGCCACCTTTTGGCGCAACAAGAAGTCCAACAAGATTCTGCCCGTCCGGCGTGTGCTTCGCCATCGGCCCCGCTCCACACCCCGTACTGTCCGCACCGAGTGGCTCAAGTTCAGGAGAGCGAAACCTGCGGCCAAGTTTGTGCTCCAAGAGGATACTCCCAATGAGAACTGCAACAACAACAGACTGGGGGGCTCACTTCCCCCCCTAGCTCCAGTCCCCCCACCCCCACCCAGAGTGGTGCCTACCATGGGCACGGCCCCCTGGACTGTGCCTACAGTCTCTGGCTCACTGACCCCCCAGCAGGCCCAGTGGTCACCAAAGCCAAAGCCCCTGGGAAGCTCTGTCCAGTCAGCTCTGGTCTCGGAGCTCAAGCAGAAGTTTGAGAACAAGAGTAGAGACAATAAGGCTTACTTCTAGAGTGTGTCCTGGCCTCCTGCCCCCAGGTGACTGCTCTGCTGCTTGGACCACGATCCCCATCCTTTGCTCTTTAGGGCCCCCCCACTCCCCTGCTCCATACAATGCTGGAGCTCCACTCTGAGAGCCCTGACATCCCTTTTCTCTGACTATCAGGCACAGTTTTCCAGTATTTCCCTGTTACCCACCATGGTGACACTGCCACACGGCTCTCTCTTTCGCAGAGGCTGGGAACCAACTGCGTGTGTCTGCCCTCCCCGCCCTCAGCTCCTACTGGAGCCTCAGCGCCCTTGGTCGGGCAGCATAATGTTAGCCATCTGGGATAAGGCCAATTAGAATCTGGATGTTAGAGGCGCCCGTGGAGAGCAGAGCAGGAGAGGGGGCTCAGTCCTGGCTAAGGTTGGAAGACGGCAAACCCTAAGAACTGCAGAACAAATGTAGAGTGTGGCGGTGGGGGGAAAGGGGTGGGAGAGGAACGTGAAGCCCGGGGACTCCTGCATAGGCATGTGAGGAAGATACAGTTGATACTGGGGCAGAGTATAGGCCCCTGGTATGTCCAGTGTGACCAGGACATGGAGAGTGAAGGCTAAGCCTTGTCAAGGGCGAGAGCCAGGGAGCCTGGCTAGGGCTGTCTCACACCACAAATTTCTACATGGCGGGCTCCTCCCTGCTGAGGTGCCGACCAGAGATCCTTGAAGAGATAGCAAGGGCCTGCAGGTGGATATCAGGATAGAGATCTGTCTCCAGATGTAACATTTGGAATGCCATTCAAATGGCCCACTCATCTTGGCTGTTGTTGTTCATCTGTAAAGGGAAGAAAGGACCTCCCCACTGTCTCATGCGGGTGCCTGGGATGAACACAGGAGGGGGGGGGCGGGGAAATCATGGTTCTAACAAATGCGAAGTGGCACAAATATAGAATGTTCTCCGAAGGTCAGTCCTCTGGGATGCAGTGCTTCCAGAAAGTATTTGGAGCCTCTCAGAAACGCTGGTTAGCACCCGCGAAAGGCTGGCCTCACCCCCACTCCTCTGACTCGTCCCTGTTCACATCCCTGCCTTCCATCCCTCCCATATCCCCTACCCCACGTCGGCCCACCAGCCGCGAGCCATGATCGGGGAAGACCAGCACAGGCAGCCTCGGCCAGCACAAGCTTTCCTTTTGCTGAGCTGAGAATGATGGGTTCCCACGAGAAGAGTGATTTGATTAAAGCCCCCACCAGTCAGAACGGGACCTGGGCAGTGAGCATTCGCTTCCTGACTCCTGGGCGTTTTTCTCTAGCTGAGACCATCCATCAGCTAATGGAGATCTCTCCAAGGAACAAGGATATGGAGACTTCCGTGGTAGGTACAAAGAAGCATAGCGCTACTCCAAGGGAACCTGCCCTAATGTGATTTGGGTGTGTATCCAGAGAGAGAGAAGTAGAACTGTCTGACAGTGGGTCCTCTAGACTACGCCAGTGAACTTGAAAGAAACGTTGCACACGTGTGGTTTTCTTGATCTTTAAGGCTGTTTTCTGAGGTGTTATAAAAATGTGCCAGTGTACAGATCCTTGCTGAAGTTCCGTTTCCTGACCCAGAGTCGTAAGTAAGAGGTAGGTGACCTGTCTGAACAAGCCGGCCTATTCCAACCTGTGCTTTAGGACAGGGCGGCTTGGGATCCTATGTGCCCTCCCCAGGGAACATAGCCAGTCTCACAACTTGCATGCGATCAAACTGTTTGGCAAATAGTAAATAAAATCTGTTAACTGCAGGCCAAAATCTATTCACTCCTAGTGTGTTTATGTGAGCTAATGTAGGCAGACCTTAACTTGCGGGGACCTTGCCTCCTGACCTGGCCACACCCAGCCTGCTCCTGGAGCCTCTGAAGGGGGCTCTACCCCCAATGCCCCATTTCAACTCTGCCCCAGAGAGGTAACAGCCCTGGAACATCTCTTACAGCCACACATGGGTTCATCTACCTGAATGTGGCCATCATGGGCCTGGATTGAGCTATTCAGCCCAGCGAGGAGTTCAGGACTTCCTGTGGAGCAATGGATCTGCAGTTAAGGCTGATGATCTGCTTCTAACCCCACCTGGGTAGGAATTGGGAGGGCGGCCTGGGCCCAGGACCTTGTGGAGTTGGGGGGTGCTTTAGGGCTAGCACACTCAGGCCATCAGGTAGGCCCCAGGAAGGGCTAGGCTCCAACATCAGTCCAGAAAGTTGGACTAAGACAGAACCAAGCTTGCAGATTAGACACATGGGCAGCTCATACAGTGGTGTGTGTGTGTGTGTGTCTGTGTGTGTGTGTGTGAATGCATGAGTGGGTGGAGGGAATGTCAAGAAAACAGCATAAGGCACCATGGTAAAGGGGGGTTGGTCCAATATAAGAGACCAGCAGATGTGGCTGGTGCAGGAAGAGCGCTCAGGTGAGGGCTTTTAGGGGGAGGCCATGCCAAGTCCTGCCATGATAGGGAATAGTGGGATGGAGTGGCTGCCTGCTTAGTGCAGGCCTGACTTGGGCCTTACCTGGGCACAATGTCAGACCTCTCTACAAAGAACTGAGGGGGATGGCTGGGACGGGCTCTCCCAAACCTGGACCCTACAAGTGAAGCTGTAGACCCCAACCAAAATAGGTAGCAGATAAGACTCGAACAACATTACAGAGTCTTA